TCGAGAAGAGGGCCAGGGTGAGCGCGCCTTGCCGGAATGGGAGCCCGCGGCTCCGGTACTTGACGTGTAAGTACGTACTTAACCTTGTCATCAGGTTAAGTAAGCAAAAGTTTAGATTAAACTAGGTAAAAACATAACGTAACACCACCCCCCTGCCCTGAAATTCTATCAAAATGGAAGTGCAGTGAATTTCTGGCAAAGTATTTTGTGTCTTTTACTAGATGACATTACAGCCACCTGAAGTTAACAAGGAGTTCAAGGACTAAGCACCAGCAAACCTGATAAAATTCTGTTCAGTTTGCACCCAGAAAAGCTAGTCATGGTGAGCATCCATGAGATGTTTGACTATGACATGATTTTTACATTCAAAAACTGTTAAACCACATTGTTTCTAAGTTTTAAAGTCCACAGAGGTGAAATGTTCTCCTCTGAGACACAAAAGTTCCTGCAGTATGTCCTCAAGTGTAAAGGATTGAGCACATGGAGCTGTACTGGGGTTCAATAGAGGTTACAAGCCCCTCAGGGTCTATTTCATTACTATTTTGTAGAATGCATGCCTCATACCATATAGTTTTGTAATACTTATTTAGATAAAGCATGCAAGTATTGGGGTGAAAGGGGAGCTAGGTTACTCTGCTGTATTAATGGATGCAGCATGACTTAAGCCCATCCTAGACCACTGCACTAGTTTTTTCCCCAAAGTAGTTCAGGGTTTAGTTTGTAAAGGACTTGGAACAAGTAGCAAGTCCTGGGATTCTTGCCTAGCCATTCCAGGAGTAGAGCACCTGGGTGTAGGTGACAGCTCTTAAAAGTACCCGGTGTTGGGAGTCCTTTACACACAGCAAAAGAGAACTTGGAAACAAAATGGGAATTTGACTCCAGTGATCTAAGCTGCAGGTGTTTAAAGGGCCTCAACTCCTTCCATCTTGGTAGCTGTGCTCCTGCTGTCCTGCAGGCAGAGAAGCTGGAGTTACGCAGTGTTTTCTGTATATAGAAAAGTTACAGCTACACCCACACCCGTGTCAGGATTGCACATGTAGCAGCAGAATCTAGAAAGACTGTAAAAGATGCTTAAGCTCAGAGAGGGTTTTGCCACAAAACTACTACAGAGAATAGTGCATGCCACCTCTGTTCTGTAATTCCCAGTAGCCATTTCAAGGTTTTCAATGGTACAAAATGAGAAAAAAAAAAACTTTTAAAGCATGTTCTACATGTGAATACTAACTGCTGCAGTGAAATTGATGTTCTTTTCACTACAGTAAAATTACTCAATTTAAGCTTTTCCTTTTGAAACAACTTGCAGAAGATACTGTTTAGCCACCATGTAGAAATCAATTTTAACTGAGTAATTGTTTGACATGGGATAAATTTATTTAATAAAACAAAGCAAGCAGATTGTAGTTGCCCACAGTTTATGAAGTGCAATATGACAATCGTGTGTAATAAGTCTAAATCTGTTTACACATTAGTGCATCTAGTCCTTTGACTTTAGTTATTGCACATAGAAATCAAATCATATAAAAGACCTGCGTACAAGACATGCAGACTTCATGAAAGGCAAATAATGCCTACATAATCAGAGCAAACCCCAGAATATACACAGCCTGGAATGGTCAAGGAGGAGTTCAGGTAACAAATATAACCTACTAATATTTCAATTAAAGGTAACCAAAATAGGTGTTCAAATATAGAATTAATTTTAAATATATTAAATGCTAGTTTTCTTTTATGTTTCAGGCAAGGTGCTGTTTAAAAAACCTTCAATATAATAGCTTCATTTAGAGATGGTAAATCATCAAGTTACACATGGAAATTTTGATTTACATCAAATGTGACAACACAATGTACAAAAAAGTTCTTAAAAAATTACTTCTAAAAAAAAAGCAAATCATGTTATAAAAGGAGAGCCAAAACTCACCTTCTTTGTAAACTAAAACATTTTCTGACATCCATGAACAGTTGGCAACACTGAGTATCAGAAAAATATTACATGTGTTAAATAGTGGATATGTAGTGTTCAAATATTGAATTTACTGCATACATTTAGTCTTGAATCATTACACCAGATAGAAATAAAAGGCAGTTCCCCCTCCTCCCCTTAGTTTTGGCCATTAATTAGCAGAAACAGTCTTAATTACATCACGATCAGCTTGAATAACTGCAATGCTTGAACTCCTATTCCACAAAGTTCAAAAAAACAATGCATGGGGGTCAAAATCTTTCAGTCACAGCTGTTTTCACAAACATCAAGCAAGCTGACGTCTGGAGCTGCAACAGCTGTAACGTGAGAATTCGGTCCCATGCTTTGCATGTAAACGCAGTGCAATGGAAAAGACTCACAGCAACAAACTCTCCTAGAAGAAAAAACTTGGTGTTTCATTTTAGCAAGAGGCTCTACAGAGAGTAGGCTAAGTACTTCTGGTCATGTGCAGTATTAGACATTTTATGTGTGTGCTCATGTCTTTATAAACATTCAGAATTAATCACGAACCAAGGTGATTGTACCTCACTATAAGGCGGCTCGCTATGGTTTGGTCTCATGGCTTTACCAACTTTTTTCTCCTCATTTACAAAAATCTGACAGTCCCACCTTCAGTGATAGTTGTGTGTTTTATGGCTACTTGCTTCCCCAAAAAAGCACAAGTTCTGTATGAAAAAAAATATGTATATACCACACTGAATCACAACATTACCTATACATCCAATTTACATTCTTTTATCCTGAAAGCATTTCGTATTTCGATTGCTTGACACAAGCTATTGACTGCAGAAGTGAAAGAACATAAAACAGTTCATTCTACACCTCCAACTGCCTGAGAAAGAAAAATATTCTTCCAGTTTTATAAATTCGTTCCTTATTTAGGATTTTTTCCATTTGGCACGCAGTTCCTTTGCTGCCAAACAACCTTTCAACGCTTTAATGCACATTAACATAGCATGAAAACATAAGCTGAACAAAAGGTGTGTCAACAAGCTCCTTGATCTATTACAGTTAGGTTCCTCCTCCCTCCCCCAAAGAACAGGTCATCTTAGCCTCTGAGTTAAAATCCTGATGGCAGCCAGTACAAAAATAAATCAACTGCTTAATGGAATGAAACTTCATGTAGCTGAAGTACACAGGAACAGTAACCAGGCAAGTGAGCACAAAGGTATGGTTATAGGCAGTCCTTGGGGGGGTGGGGGAAGGTGGCACAAGTTAAGGATGAGAACTACAGCACAGTTTATAAAACCATGAGAATAACTTTTATAATACTGTAAACTGCAAGAATCTTCACATGTCATGGTTGATCAGGGGCCTCCAGATCTTTAGGAGGGCATGTAGAGGAGCGGGGATCCATGGCTGAGTGCATTAAAGGAATATAAACATCATCCATGTTTGGCATGACAAAGACTTTCTGTGAAAAAGATGCAATTAAGTCAAGTTACATTTCATAGTTTTCTGATTTGTTTAGTTAAAAAAATGCAACAAATTTCCAGATAAAAGGTTCCTGAGTTCAGCATTATTTGAGTCAATGCTCGTACTGAAGCCCTACAGCGTCCACTAACTCAAGCCATTTAGTTGTGCTGCAGTTGTAAGATGAAGCTCAGAAATATGAAGATCTTTGCTCTTTCCGTTAAACTGAAATAGCACTACAGGAAACATACCAACTTTTCTTAACTCTGCCACTTTCTCAGCTCTTGCCCATATACTTTCAATCTGTACTTTCAAGGAAATAAGCAGGTTTGATTTCCAGATGACTGTACAGGTTGGGGTCTGGAATTAATCTGGTCAGTAAGCTGTTTTCGTATCTGACAAGTATTTGTAAGTTTGGAGGATTTTTCCTGTTGTGCACTATGGCCAATGTGATTTTTAAAAATAATTATATTTTAAAGGAAGTAGTAACAGGACTCCTTACTGCCTCTTAATTTTAGACAATTGTTTGGCCCTCTATCATCTAAGAACACCTAGGATCATGTTTTTATTCAAGTACTACGAATTCTGACACGGTACCTATTTTCAGCCATTGTCATTCTGATAAGTGCTAAAACAGATTTCCATCCAGGTCTGCACATGGTCTTAAGACCATCCCAGAAGTCTCTTTCAGCTGAATTCTTAACATCCTTTCCACTGAACAGGAGCAGTGGAGGACACCAACTATTCATGAATGAAATAGGGGACATGCAAAAATTAAAACCCCCACCCCTCTAATAGACCAAAACTATCATTACTGAAATGAAAATGTAAAGGAAACACACCTGAAACTCTTGTTCTAGTTTCTTCTCTATCCAATCAGTTACATGAACCAGAGTCACTTCTCTCTCACCAAGTTTTGGCCGAGCTTTTAACTCCAGGTAGGGAGGTCTTCTAAAGCCATACCTTAGGAGAGTACACAGAACAGGTTTTATTACAAACGCTCCAATGAAGCATACGCCTAAATGTGCTGACTGTCAATGCTCTCTTAATAGCAGTTCCTACTTCATTTACAACTAGTTTGTGTTGCACTTCTTCCAGAACCCACTTCAGCTACACTTTACCTTTTTTTTCGCTGCAATCCCTTAGGTAGCACCCACCTGAAACACTGCCCAGTTCTGCAGTAAATTCCTCTTACCATATTCTGTCAGTAGGTGGAGGTGGAATGTTAATTACTAGTGTTCCTCTGCACTCTTGTACTTCAACTGTTAGCAGCAATGGAGTATTGGAGACTTCTTCAATTTTCTTCTTAATAAACTCAGTCTCTGTTGCTTTCTGAAAGTATTTTGACTTAGTAATTTTATCCACAATTCTCATGATCTTACTTGTCCGGTGTCCTCCAACATACCTTTAAACAGAGAACAGAAAAAGAACACATCAAAGTAATTTTCTTAAACCTATTGTTTGCTAAGACACCCACTGATTTCCTATTAAATCATTACAGTTTCTGACATAAAAATTCTAAAGAGATACATATTCACATGTCCAAGCAGTACCTACCACAGCTTGCACGCAGCAGCTGTACTCAGTCAGCTATAAGTGTCTGGCAGAAATCCTGTCCAGTCTGAACACTCCTTCTTCCCAGATGGCATTGCAAATGCAACAATTCTTAAAATTGCAAATATGCTTAAATCATTTATACCAGCAAGCTGGCATGAGAAGTGACAAGCTATTACCGTTCTAACAAAATTGTCAAGACTTGGATGCACTGGGACACATGCACGTATCAGCATAGAAGGCCCAACCATCCTGTCTAATCTATTTAACAATGTGTGTCAAACAAAAAGGTTCTCACTTCAAGGTGCTGTAGCATTTACGATGAGTATAAAGGTGGTGAAAAAGAAGAGGAAGGTGATTTTAGCAGTAGATGGGATGATTTTCCAAAAATGATTAACTATGCCTGCAAGAAGCAGCTGCTTTTCCTGGCAACAGTGTCAGGCGGCATCCTAGCTTTTTAAAACGGATGCTTTAAGGACTGAATGTGTCTTTTCTCACACCTATCCCATTTCAGAAACACACACTCCAAGAATACCATGTTCGGTATTTTTCACACACTACATTACACCTAATTGAGGCTCTTGATGTTATGTAGCAGAGATAGCCCTGCTAAGGAAATAACATTTTCCTAGCCCGCAAAAAAATTGTGTTTATCCAGCCTTTTACAGAACTTTTTCCTTAGCATAAGACAAGAAACTCCTCAGATGATATAAAAGGGGTGAATTAATTTCAACTTTGAGATTCTACACTAGCTGTAACTTTATCTGGGTAAAGTACTTACTTTCTCATGAGATTCTATAGTGATAGTATTGCAGATTTTCAAAAGTTGTAAGGAAATTCTTTCAGTATTCTACTTAGAAATTCTTTGTTCTCCCTTTTTGTCCTTATGAGTTCTTTATATGATCTGTATTTTTTTTAAAAATATGAAATGCATCTATTGAAATAATGCCAACAATTCAACATGTAGTTTTCAAAAGTTTTTAGGAGTAACACTCCAAGGAAACTCTCTTGAACATTTTGAATATGTCATGGAGCCTTTTGGTATATTCACTGTAAAATCACCGAGATGTGTTCAGACATAGAAAACATCGTGATTGTCTGAGACATTTCAATGCTACTACAGATTCCTCATTTCATGGCATAATTTCAATCAGATGTAAGAAGCAAAAAAAAAAAAAAAAAAAAAGAAAAAAATCAGAACAGCAGCCAAAACAAGGAATGATGTGGCAAAACTGACATTAGGAAATTTTCTTTACAATTCTTGCACAGCGTCAGAGGGCAGTATTGCATAGCTCAGACACTCAAAGCCCTTCAAGGGGAAGGGGAAAAAAAAAAAAAGAAGAAAAATAAAACAAAACACAAAACCCCAAGCAAGAAAGCTGAATAGCTAGGCTTGAATAACAGTCGTTTTCTTAAAGAAAAAAAACACAGTGGAAATAAGGATCAGGAGGATCAGCATGGGTATGATACTGTATACAAAGTATTTCAAATTCACACATAAAATCCTGTTCTTGACCCTGCTACCAGGCAAGACATGCAGGGGAAGGTCCTCACAGGTTCTCTGGCCCAAAGACTTGATGCTCTCTGTCATCTAATAGGGAAGCAATTAGATGTCAAACGGAGCACTGTACAGGTCACTCTGTGGAAGTGCTGTATGGTCAACAATGCTCTCAGCATGGAAAAAACACTCGGCAGACCAGCTTCTTTTCAATTGTAGTACATGGCCTGATGGCTGCTCTTTGCTCTAGAAATGGGTGAGTTGTGTTTGCTTGATTGCTTGGACAAACTCACACTCTGGCGTCCTGTATGACAATGAGCATTATAGGACTAGACCAAGAGACCAGTTACCCCAAGTCTGGAAATGCAGCGAGGAGGAAAGGATTAACAAACACTATGTAGACAGCTCACCCTTCCGCTCCTGGAGTCACCTGCTTCTCTCCTGCCAATTCAGGAGCATCATCCTCTTCCGAAGACCCAGCGCTGGAGGATTCCTCATCACTGTCTGCAAGACAATATGCCCTTGGCCTGAAACTGAAACAATGCAATTTCCAGGTCAAATGTAGTATTCTTAAATAACTATTCATTGTGTACAGCTTTGACTGACATTCCATGTATTTCTACTGGAGACTCTGAAATGTCCCCTCTTTTTTTTTTTTTTTTTAATATAAACTCTATCTAAAAGAACAAACCCAAAACCACTCTGAAGCCAGTCTGTCAGAACTAGCTTCAAGGCAGAAAATTTGTCTTCTCCAGTGGAATGTAATCCTGTATACAAGAGGATGGCAGGGGAATGGCTACTCTACATACTCAAATCAAATGTGGAAATGATTTGAAATACATTTGAAAGCATCTCTATTGCTGCTCATGGCTTTCCATGAAAGTTGAGCAGCATGTAGGCTGTACAGGATTTTTTTTGTTTGTTTTTAAAACTTTGAAAAAGACATGCTTTTAAATTGAAAGGTAAGAACATGAGATTCTGTCTCACACTAAAACAAACACAGGACTCCAACTTAAAATTACATCGTCTACCAAGTGAATCCTAGAATCCCTCAGAGTGTTAACTGAGGTGCTAACACATATACCTTATCTTCACAGCACTTTTAACCCAAGCCCATAAATTCCATTTTGTCTACTCGCACACACAGGCGGTTTTTGCGTCGTAGACGTTATCTCCAGCAGTGGTAACACATGCAAAGCACAACAGAATCAGATCGTTGTCATCTGCCTCCAACAGGAAACGCGCAACGCTCACACTGGCAGAGTGCGGTTGCCTCAAACTAGCGATTCACCTTACTGTAGCTACAGTGTGTCATCACTTACCAATTTTGTGTAGAAAAAAGGCAGTTTTATTAACAGAAGAAGTCTAACATAACCCTGGGAAGTAACATTTCTTAAGTGTTTTGCGCAGAGGTACTTTTGTCCCATACAAATTTAGGCTATAACCTCAATTTAGTATCTTTGCTGGAAATGTTCCTTTCCCTA